CAAAATGTCATGTGTACGGATTTTTATTAACCCTGAAATCACAGTGGCTGGAGAGTTATTGGTCATTGCACTGGTACGTTACGATTAACATACCAAGAAGCATACTTGTTCAACTTACACGAATACTTCTTTGTAACTTCAAATATCTGCATCAGTGCTGATAATCTAAATTAGAAATTCTCAGAGTCTTTACTATAAAGTATGAACCATTTTTTATTTCGACTCCAAAAAACGACCAAAGTTAATCTAAAGCCGAAGTTGTGTTTTCACATCCCAGTATTGCAATAAAACATGTTTTTCTTTCTGATATGATAGCCTAAGGCGACATATGTTTGTTTTCATCTAGAAATTATTGATAACCTTGTGTATACTTCATTACTTATTGAATGGAACCATATTAAACCCTCTTTAAGCTGACCAAACTAATCACAAGATATGTATTGATCAATGACCACTGCAATGACCACTGGTCACTTCAGTGTAAAGATAACCAGAAAGAAAATAGACTTGTCAGTTTGTTTTAATGGTTAATTTATTGACAAGGGTAAATGGTTCTTGACCATGATTAACTCGGGCTCATTTCAAACCACAGGCCTGTATAGTATCTTCCAGTGTATCGGGAAAATATTTGTTTTTGATTTGACTTGCTTAAACTTATAAAGCTTCATTTTATTTATTTAAAGGGTTTGACTTAATTCTTTTCCTTGACGTTATTATTCAACTATCAAGACCAGTTGATCTTAATAAAGTTTTGGACCTTAGAAAGGTTTGTGTGATCACAACTTCGAACTGCCAATCGTTATCATCGTGTAAGACAGATAACGGCACATAATCATGATCAACCGTAAACTAAAAAAAAATTTGAATTGCACGAATACCCATTGGGGTCAAGTACTGGTTGCTCTCTATTCTGATCGAGAGTAGCAAATAATCGTATCGGATCGCATGTATAAACCAAACAAAGTTCAAATATTCCTCTTTAGTCGTCCGTCTTTAGAGAACTTCAGCTGACCAAAGTGTCATATTAATGGAGCCAAAATGATCACCATATTAAACATCAATAGATGGAGATACCTGTTCTTTTGGTTAAATTTCCTTGCTGTACACGACGTCTAATAAGTTATTGGACTAATTGGTAACGGAACGCAAAAGAGATATCAAGCTCGGTTCGATATATGTTTCCAGCAGATACAGTGTATATCTTTAGAAGCAATAAAACTAGATATTACAATCATTATTTTTGATAAAATCGAATACAATCTATCATATTAAGCAGTATTATTATTGTCACTCTACATTAGCTGGTCGTATATTGACTTCATGATTTTTAGGTCACAGTGACAACTCTTAGAGACGACCTAAGCTTTTGTGTATCCTATCATGTTAGTAGAGAAATTCATCGCCATGTAGTGAAAAAGAACAAGGTTTATCAAGACAGTCGCATCAAATTGTCAATGCTTTCCTATCTTAGGACATTGAGCTGTGTTATAGGGGGAAAGATTACACGAATGAAGATGATTTTAAAAACATAATGCTGTAAAATTTGCTCCAGTTGAACGACTTGAGATTTAATCAAGTCAGACGGACCTGCATCGCAAACATCTGAGAGTATATTATTTAATATGAACTGTTAAAAATTCAGGCTAGCGCGGTTCGCTGATCCACTATCGCTCTCTAATCATTATATTCTGACGAGACTTAAAAAAGCTTAATTGCGAGAGTATCCTTAAGATGGTTGCTGAAAAGAATTGCGAAAAACAGGATGGTTGTTTATTACGGCTGTCGCAAACGAAGGCCGTTGTTTCGTCACAAAAGTCAGTGGTTTGCATACTGTGTGGGGCACAGGAACACTGTAGGTAATGTCTTAATGGACACAACTTTATGTAGATACCAAGAGTTCATTGCTTCTGTCATGATGAACATTCTCAAAAACTAGCGACTCAAAAGTGGATCGTGGAACTAAATATTATTCTTACGTATCAAAAAAATAAAATGTACATTCTTAGTTACCATTTTATAACTCATCAAGAAAATGCCATGTACACCGTTTTTAAGAAATGAAGAGTCGCCGTAAAATACAAAATGTTACTGTCAAATCTTGGAGTCAGTCATTACTCCTAGGTTAAATATACAAGTAACTGTCCGATGCGGTGGACGAATTAATGATGCAATAGAAAATAGATGAAGTGAATACATCGTACGGGATAAACTATTCTATTTTGCACTGTATCTAAAATCCTGCACCATAACGTTCTTCATCTAATGGCACCTGAAGTTCGTTTGTCTTATTTTAGCAGCATTTCTTACAGAAAATTATTATTACTAGTATTACGTTGTCATCACAGAGGAATATCCGTTGTGTGACAGTAAGAGATGAGTTAATCATATTCAATAATATCTTCTCTCTATTTGTCATCTTTCATTACTACTTACATTCATTTTAAATTGTATAATTTCCGTTCTGTATGTCTACAGGGCTTAGTAACAATTTTTAACAGAATAATAAAAAAAAACGGGCTATTTGGTTAATTGTTATATCTACTAATAATTATGAGGCCTGAAGTGTTTTTCCGGATTTTTTATATTATTTTTTAATGTAAACGAATTAGATTCTGTGTGGCCGATAGCGATTGCTGATCAGATGTTAAATGATGTAGATAACATACTAACATTAAACATGTACTTTCTATAGTTATAAATATAAAGAATATGGTTTTGCCTCTTTTCCTGACATTTAACATGACTGAAATAAAAGAGGAAAATAATTATTATGATAATAGACTGGCTTTCTGCGATTCTTTTTCATAAACCCATTAATAAAAATCCTAATTACAATTACAAAAGGTTATTTGAAAAGAAGCATTTTATCGCCGATGACCTGAGCGATCGGAATCTGCAACCATGAGGTTGACAACAGTTACTAGTATTCGGTCATTTCAGCGTTTCTCTCATAATGACTTCGACGTATCAAATGAGATGCTTTGCAAACATGGTGCATCCTTCAGGCTTCTTGAACAAAGGTAGCCGTAAGATCACAATCATGCCTGATATCACAAATAGACATCTATAGCTTCTTTCCTCTTTTCCGTGATATGTGTATAGCAGTCCAGACGGACCGACGACACCTAAGATCAACATAGAAATGTGGGTTGTGAAAAGTAACTTAAATCGCTTCATTTAATTTTGCTTACAACATACAGTAGCCATGTTCATTCGATTTTAAACCGAAAACAAATATTAATCTACTTCAATACTAGTCTGAATATTATATATATTATCAACTTATGACTCATCAATCATTTCACCGTAATTAAGTAGAGTATGCCGCCAGCATGAGTCAATGATGGCATCCATTGGTCAATCCCGTTTTTGCCCTTGCGTTGGTGGACCTGAGGCTATATTTGTTAGGTGAAATGCAAGGCAGTGATTAGGGTTCTTAAAAACCGTTATCTAAATTATCCCCACTAAACTTAACGAAGTTTAATATACATGTTTTACTAGCTCGAGAAAGTGATAGTTCCAATTATTTATTGGTTGCAGCATGTGTATTTTTTTTTTGCTCAAAGACATATTAAATCTCATTTAGAATGGCAAAATCATAAAAAAAAAATATATTCGCAACTCGTAAGCCTGTTCTCTGTTTCACGCTAAAATGACATTTATAAATATCAAAGACGTAAAACATACTAAAATTTCGCTAGAAAGTAAATCCCATTGGCATCACAAAAACAGAACCCTGAGATAATTTTCTACAGAATGTCTTTGACAGTGCTGTTATATCGACAATAATCAAGAGATATAATACTTAAAAAAGACAATGATTGACAATTTGCTATAGAATAGTTTTCTCTCCTTAACATCTTGGGAAATTAGTAAGATAAAACTAGTTTAATGTATTCATTTCTTCTTGAAAAAGTCTCTCCTGATAGAAACAAGGTTAGATATACATGAAAATATTTTGTTTGTTTGCATAACCTATGTAAATATAGATAGCTCGTACGAACATAGCATGTCGTAAACAGTGTGTAGTGTAGCGTGCACACACTGAAAGAATGCCACGTGTTTCTTGAAACCAATTTTTTAAATGTTGCTCGTCACACAGTTGATTCGAACCCCCAAACTGCTCAAACCAGTATAGATTTGATTTTGCAGCTAAAATTCTTTATGTCGAGCAGGTGTCGATTCATGGCTGTTTCTACAGAGAATTTTTTCTGTCATAAAAGACTGTGGAGATAAATTTTCCAAAATCATACAATTCTGACATGTTAAAACTAAGGAATAATTCGTTAAAAATTTATAAAACAACCTGCTCAGAAGCATGTTTCAAGAATTATTTAGATAAATATATATTTCATCATCATAAATAGAGATTCTACTCTTCAGTCATGTTATCTGGTAAATCCAACTGATGAATATATACACTTGTTGGCCAAGTTTGAGACTTTAAATTGTATGTTCATACTAAGAGGCGGTAATCCTTTCATACACGGTCGATGCAATTGCGTAGATGAAATTGTAGAATGGTAAGATAGCCTGCAAGTCGTGAAATCGACAATCACAAAAACGTATGGAGATGGATTTTGTTCTGAACGATAAATGTAACACTATATCTCTGATGATTTGTAAAAGGACAAAAAAATCCCTTGAGGTGATATTGCTCTTCAAATTGACGACAACCATATCTCCTTGCCGATCTTTATGCAAGAAAATAACTTCCATTGATTTCAATTGATTAAACTTATAACAACTTTTCATCCATGTTTAAAGTTGATAATCTCTTTCAAAAGCAGATGTCAAAGGGAAATTCTTAATCGTAGCACGTTTAATTAAGTTGTTAAAATACTTTCCGTGCGCTTTTGTTGCGATTGAGTGCATTTGTCGCAGTGATATTGTTTAAATTCAGTACACTCTCGTAGTCATATTGTTACATTGTTACACTTCAGTGCACTATTGTAGTCATATTGTTACATTTCAGTGCAATATTGTAGTCATATTGTTACATTTCAGTGCACTATTGTAGTCGTATTGTTACCTTTCAGTGCACTATTGTAGTCATATTGTTACACTTCAGTGCACTATTGTAGTCATATTGTTACATTTCAGTGCACTACTGTAGTCATATTGTTACATTTCAGTGCACTATTGTAGTCATATTGTTACATTTAAGTGCAATATTGTAGTCATATTGTTACATTTCAGTGCACTATTGTAGTCATATTGTTACCTTTCAGTGCACTATTGTAGTCATATTGTTACACTTCAGTGCACTATTGTAGTCATATTGTTACATTTCAGTGCACTACTGTAGTCATATTGTTACATTTCAGTGCACTCTTGTAGTCATATTGTTACATTTCAGTGCACTATTGTAGTCATATTGTTACATTTCAGTGCACTATTGTAGTCATGTTGTTACACTTCAGTGCACTATTATTATTACAGTTCATTGAAATATCCTTGAGTTATTTTAACAATTCATTGCACTATCCCAGTGCTATTGTTATGCACTACCCTAGTGCTATTATTATGCACTATCCTATAGTGCTATTGTTATGCACTACCCTAGTGCTATTGTTATGTACTATCCTAGTGCTATTGTTATGCACTATCCTAGTGCTATTGTTATAATAAGGTGCACATTTTTTACAATTCAATATACTGTCGTAGTGCTAGTGTTATACAAAGCGATATTAACTTACTAACAAAACAAAAGTATTCGTCAATAAAGCATTGAGTTAAATGAAACTTGATTGAAAAGGTACATAGAGGGAGAAGAATTGGGAAGTGATGTGGTGACATTCAGAAAGAAACTGTTACCCAATGGCTAACAACTTTCAGAGATTGAACTAAAAGGCACGACTTATTTTTCTTTTCGAATCTAATAAAATACATGTTGCATTTATTGACTACCTTTTGTCCATACGTTTTTTTTTCAGTGAACTGAGAAGCCATGCTCATGGAAGAAGTTGAAAGAATACAATCGGAAATTAAAGCTATGGATTTTATTCATTCATTTTACTAAATAAAGTAAAAGAAATGCTAACTGCAATCAGTTTCTGAGGTCACGAGTATTGACGTCAGAGTTACGAAAGCATTATGCTAGAATTACAAGACTATAAGCTTACCATCTCATGCAAAATCTGAACAGAATATCAATGATGTAAATCTTGTCAATTTTCTCAATGTAATTTTTCTGTTGAAAATGAGCTGATAATGCCAAGATGTGAAAAGAATGGAATATAAATATAATAATACGAGGATTGACTAGGTAATAAAGTGTCATGTCTCAATCGGATTGAAACAGACTTTTGCCACAAAGTACGCTCGTTTACTGAAACTCTTCTCATAAAAAACTATTGTGTTATTTCTGCAAGATGTGTGCCAATAACATATATGCCCATGATACTGTAGCCCGATTTGGCCCCTCAGATTTCCACCTGATTCCAAAATCAGCTCATTAGGGAAAAAATGGTATCATAAGATGTGGTAGATTTATTTACAAATGTTCTCAGAAAGGAAGCTCTAGATGTGCTATATAATAACATTTAAGTTATCTACCCCTCTTGACACGAAACTCAGTCCCGAAAACATCATAGCAGATAACTGTCTAAAATCCACATACTTTACTTGGGGTGATGATTTTTATGAGAAAATCAGAGGATTGCCAATGGGTAGCCCACTCTCGCCACTTTTAGCTGAACAGTACATGTCCCATTCAGAACCTAAGCCTAAGCACTATCTGTCATACAACCAATATGTTGGTACAGAAAAGTCGATGACACCTTTGTCATGTTAAAACAAGAGGACGAACCACAAAATTTACTAGACCACCTCAACAACCAAACAACATCAATAAAATTCACCATGGAAACCAGCGCTGAGAACTCTATATCTTTCCTGGATGTCAATAGTAAAATAATCAACAACCAAGTCAGCACATCAGTTTATACAAAATCTACGCATACCGATCAGTATCTGCATTTTAAATCCAACTACTAAAATTTCTACCCTCTCCAAACGTGCCTTAAATATTTGCAGTAAAAAAAATCTACAGAACGAAATCGTCCAACTTAAATAAATTTAAACCAATACCCAGAACACAGTCAACCAAACAATAGCCAAAGCCATGAAACCAAAACAGCCAAACCAACAGCTAAACCGGAACCCCTACCTATTAGAGTGAGCATAACATTTAATTTGTTTGATCTTGTGGAGAATTTAAAATAGGTTAACAAAAAGACGACTGCAAAAAAGAATCAAAGAACATCAATTAAATGCAGCTATTAACCAATCAGCAATCCAAGATAACTTGGGTGAAATCATAGCATTAGCTACCAATAAAAACAATTAAAAAGTAGAAGACATGATACATCAATCAATAAAGATCCTGGAGTTTTTATCTCTAGAGCCTATGATCTCCTTAACCATTAATTAGCATTTATAACTTAGAATTAGTATTCTTAATCCATTGTTAAGTTGTTTTGTCTTTACCTATATATACTTCTTCACCTTTGAAATATTGTTCAACAACCAATCCAACAACACAGAATCATCCAATTTGAACCAATCCAACTACTAACTACTACGACTACCTAGTTTGCGATATCAGCATCCGCTGGAAGCGAACGTTAACTTGTCATCTACCTACCTACCAAACCTGAAATATTGTTCATTGATAAACACCAGAGAACGCTAGTTGAAACGTCTCTCAAATAAAGTTCACAATTGTAATCCAAAGAATTGTCTTCTCATATCCAACCCCTTTACTAAATGCCATTTAAAAATTATCAGCATATATGCTACCTTCCAAAGTATGAATCTTAACATAAGGAGTTTCGCTCTTTTGTCCATACGATCAACTTTGCGACAAAAGCAAAGAGAGTCAACTAATATGGTAGTGAACTATAATTCACTTGAGTATTGTCGATGTACTTTTCTCGTGAAAAGAACTGCAGTATAATTCACAATTACAAAAAATAATAGAGAGAGCTACAATCAGTGAGAGTCATTGAAACTCTATCCATCATTACTCTCTACAATAACCTCATTATGTTCCCTGTTCTTTTAGATAGTAATTTCAATAACGGACAGATTCTAATTCTGTAGCAGTGATATTAACTTATAATGCCAAGAAGATAGCTTTATAGATACACACGGTAATTTGGCATTCAAAGTAGAACTTGTTATCTTGAATGGAAGACAAAAAGCTTGTTCATTACCTAATTTCGATGTATTTTTTCGTCAAAAATCCAATTGAAACTTTTGTGACTATCGTATTCATGGACTAATTTGAATGTATTTGGAGCATACGAGCAATAAAATCACTGAAGAAATCGTGATAACCAAACTCATTTGAGATCATCTCAAAGTACATACCAAGTCTGGTCAATTTAAAATGCAAACTTTAGTCTCTATCACATTCACATACTAATTATGACGCATTTTGACTAAAGCAATAACTAAAAAACAGTTCTTCAGTCATCCGAGATCCGATTAATCAATCTTTGTCAAGTTCAAATGTAAATTTTAACGTATTTTAGTTCCGCCAAGGGAAATAACTCTTTTTAATCAAACATTCATTAAAAAAACTCCCAGATCTCATCAACATCCAAAAGCACACCGATATCCGATTAAAACTAGTATTCGTATTACACGGGCGTATGAAAATACTCGGTGGTTTAATTGAAAGAAATATTGTGCTGTAAATATCGATAAATGATATTTGAAATTTATATATACAGCTATTTATTAGTTGCAGTCCATAAATCGACAGCTCTAATTGAGATATGAGTATCAGAAGAATATTGAATCAAGACTTAAAGAGATGGGTGCTGAAGACTAGCAAGGACCAGCCCAGGCGCAAACAATGGACCCTAATGAGAAAGCTTGAAGATTTAGATTTTGTAGACGACATGCAAGACAAAACAGAGGCTGAGCAACGTCGCCAGAATGACAAGGTTGGAGATCAACACGGGGAAAATAAAGAGCCTGCGGGCCAATGCCATTCAACACCTATCAACAGCGACGGACATGCCGTTGTCAGCAAGACAAGAGTGGCTAATGAAGATGTAAAGGCCAGGATCAGTAAGGGGCTTCATGTTTTGTCACCCTCAGACCAGTGTGGAGAAATGACATTGACTCTTTAACACAAACGTCAAATTCGTTTTATTGTATGGTTTGGAGTCCGGAGACACCAAAAGAGCCTGGACAGCAAGTTACAGGTCTTCGCCATATCCTGCTCATCGGATGGTCGGAACATAGCTCCATTGAGGAACTCTTTCTCCGAACCCAATCACCAAGAGCACGAGGATGAGGGGGGAGGGGGGTTGTTTACACCATGCGTAGAGGAAGACCTACCCCACACTCTGGACTGGAACCGGGCGAAACGAAAGACGACCAGTTGAGTCACCTCCAGGAGAAGAGCTCAAGTCCATCAATATGACATGAAGCCAGAAGAACATCCTAAGATAGAGCGAGATTGAGATCTACAGTGCGGGCCCTATGATCCGACCGGAGTGAAAAGAACCAAGGACGAAGACTTAAAGGTATACCAAAGCCAGGTGTATTTGGAATGCATATTTGCCTTGTGCTATACGATCATAGCTACATTGCTCACTAAACAATTAAGGCTCGGTCTCAATCACATTTGGATGTGAAAAAAAAACATGAATTTTATTTTTTTTAATTCAATTATACAGATGTTATATTAAGTTTTACTTACATGTGATTAGTCTATCGAATGAAGGCAAGAGCCATGGTTTTGATAGACTTCAAAATTCATGAAAATATTTATCTCTCATACCAAACCAGTTCTAACGACGTAAACAGTTTTGTCAAATAATGAGGCAAAACATGTGAAAGAGCCTCGTAGTATAATGCAACTCGAAAAGTCACTTTTATGTCGATTTCAAATAACAGCCGAACCAATTGATTTTCCATACTTTCATGGCATCCATTAAGTACATGTAGTGTAATTAGGACATCACAATACAGATGCCATTCATTATCCTGAAACTGGAACCAATATGTAAATTATGCTAATAACAGGTATTGGTATATACAGACGAAAGCCATTTGACTCACCATATTAAACTCATTAGTGGACTTTTGATCACCCCAATCTAAATCTCACTTATCATTGCTAAAGCCATTTTTACAAAGCAGACTTTCTTTTATTCATTGGCCGCACATTGAACGCATGGTATCATTCTACAATGGGGTTGTCAACTCGACATTCTTGTAGGCATGTTCCTTTAGAGACATCCACACCTGTAGATAATCGTCCTACCGTTGCTAGTGGATAATCATCGTACTGTTCATGGTACCGTTGCTAGTGGATAATCATCGCGCTGTTCATCGTACCGTTGTCATA